CACTCATCCCCACTTTTCCCAAAATTCTCTTGTGACCATTTGCAGTAAATTCCTAAATCAGGCAACTGTAGATTTCACTATTAGTTAGTTTTGCCTATTTGGGAATTTTATATAAATGGAATCACACAGCAGGTCATCTTTCGTATCTGACGTCTTTATTCAGTATGATGTTTTTGAGATGTGTCTGTGTTGTTGCATGTCAGATTCTTATTGTTGAATAGTGTTTCTTTGTGTGAATCTCCAATTTGTTTATCCATTTGCCCATTGACGTATATTTGGGTGGTTATTCTTGAGGCATACTTGTATGCATGGCTGTTGAGTACAGACCTAGGAGTAGGATTGCTGTGTCATGGGATATGTACATTTTCCATTTTTGTAGATAATGCAAAATGGTTCTTATAAACTAGTTGTATGAATTTGCATTACCATCAACAGTGTATGTGCATTCCCCTTGTTTCATACCCTCAACATTTGTGTGTGGTTTTTTTTTTTTGGTTAGCCATATAGACATAGATACATGTGTAGTGTTATTTTATTGTGGTTTACATTTGCATTTTGTGATAACTGATGAGATTGAACACCTTATGCCCTTGTTTATTGACCTTTTGCTACATTTGTATCTTTGGTGTGATGCCTTTTCAGATCTTTCACCTATTTTGGTTTTGGTTGTTTTAAATTGCATTTTTGTGTGTATTTCTTAAGTGTTGTTTATTCTTAAGAGATACTGATAAACTGTGGGTATAAACCCCTTGTACAGTATATCTTCTGCCTCTGCATATTGTTTTTGTGTTCCTTAATTGTGACTTTTTAATGAATAAGAGTTCTTCATTTTAATTTAGTCAGATTTACCCATACTTTCCTTTAGAGTTAAAACTTTTATGTCTTAGGACACATGAAAATCTTCTAGCTGCATTATTTGACCTATTATACTGGGATTTATAATCTATCTTGAATTGATTTCTGTGTACTGTCTGAGGTAGGAGTAAATTTTTGTTTGCTTCCATATAGATGTACAGGTGATCTAGTCTTTCAAAAGACCATACTTTCTTCATTGCTATAGATTGACCTCTTTGGCTTAAATGCAATTGGATCTCTTTTTTTAAAAAAAAATTATTTTAGTTTCAGGGTACATGTGCTGGGTTGTTATATAAGTAAACTTGCGTCACAGCTGCTAAGCCTAGTACCCAATAGTTATTTTTTCTGATCCTCTCCTTCCTCTTACTTCCCCTCTTCTAGTAGGCCACAGTATCTGTTGTTCCCTCTTTTGTGCTCATATGTTCTCATCATTTAGCTCTTACTTACAAGGGAGAACATGTGCTATTCGGTTTTCTATTCCTACATTGGTTTGCTAAGGAAAATGACCTCCAGCTCTATCCATGTAACTGGGTCTCTTTAAGTGGGTTCTTAATTCTAGTTCAATAGCCTATTATCCTTTTTATCAGTAATACAGTGTTTTAATTACTACAGCTATATAATAAATCATGAAACCTGGTAGAGTATGTCTTCTCACTGTACTCTTTAAAAATGTGTCGTTATTGGTCCTTTCTTTTTCACATGTATTTTAGAATCAGTTTGTTAAATCTCACATGCGTCCCTCACTGTAACTCTTTTGATTAGTGTTGCGTTGACTCTACAGATTAATATAGGGGGTATTGTCATCTTTGCAACATCTAGTATTTCATATATTTTTAATTAGATTTTTTTCTAATTTTCTTGGTAATGTTTTCTAATTGAGTTCTTGCAAATCTTTTGCTAGATTTAATTCTAGGTTTTGGTAGTTTTTTAATGCCCTTATACTATATGGCACCATTTTAATATTTCATTTTGTTTGCTGATATTTGGGGATGGAATTGATATTTATATGTCAACCCTATTAGTTTGCTAAAATCATTTTTATTTTTGTATTTTGTATTTTTATTTGTTTATTTATTTTTGAGATGCTGTCTCACTCTGCTACCCAGGCTGGAGTGCAGTGGCACTATCTTGGCTCACTGCGCCCTTCGCCTCCTGGGTTCAAGAGATTCTCCTGCCTCAGCCACTTGAGTAACTGGGATCACAGGCACATGCCACCATGCTCAGCTAAGATTTGTGTTTTTAGGAGAGATGAGGTTTATCTATGTTAGTCAGGCTGGTCTCAAACTCCTGGCCTCCGGTGATCTGCCCACCTCGGCTTCCCAAAGTGGTGGGATTAAGGTGTGAGCCACCACTCTCGGCTGCTGAATTCATTCTGAAACAACTCCTTTTGAGGTCGAAAAATATATATAATAAATTATAATCCCTTAAAGCATGTAATTTGATGAACTGTGAAAGATACATAAACCTATGAAATTTTTACCACAATCAAGAAACACAGCAGTTCTGTTACTTCTAAGAGTTTCTTAGTTTCTTATACAGTCCATCCCTGTTTCACGTGCTCGTATAGAATAAGTGAGAATATGCAGTCCTCCACCATGCAATGATATTTTTGTCAGTGATGGACCACAGATATGGCATTGGTCCTATAAGAATATAATGGCTATACCATATAACCTATGTGTGAAGTAGGCTGTACCATCTAGGTTTGTGTAAGTACACGCCATGATGTTTGCAAATGATGAAATTGCCTAACAACCTATTTCTCAGAATGTATCCCTGTCATGAAACCAGGCATGACAGTATTTCTTACGTCTTCTTTTGCTCAGCATGATGATTTTTGACATTTATGTAGATTATTAGTTTTTTTAGTAGTTTTTTTTCTTTCAGCTGGGTGATAGTCTCTTGGATCCATACACCACTATTTGTTCATTTACTTCTTGATGTCTATTTGGGTTTTTTCAAGTTTTTGATTATTGAAAATAAAGCTGCTGTGACCATTTGTATACAGGTCTTTCTGTGAACATCTGTTTTCAATATTTTTGGTAGGATTGGAATAGCTGGGCTTTGAAGTTTGGTGAATGTTTATTTTTATAAGAAAATAAAAGCAATTTTCCAAAATGGATGCACCCTTTTGCATTCCTGCCAGCAGTATTTATTTATTTATTTATTTTCTGCCAGCAGTATTTAAATGTTCTGATTATTCCACATATTCTCCAACACTTGATATTGACAGGCTATAGTTTAGCTATTCTAATGTGTATGTGGTATTATCACACATTCATATATTTTGTGATACAACTATTTACATTTTTCCATTTTGTTTATTTTATTTATTTTCTGAGACAGGGTCTCACTCTGTTGCCCAGGCTGGAGTGCAGTGATGCAGTCATGACTCACTGCAACCTCAACCTCCTGGACTGAAGTAATCGTCCCACCTTAGCCTCCCAAGTATCTGGGACTACAGGCATGCACCACCACACCCAGCTGATTTTTGTATTTTTTTTTTTTTTTTTTTTTTTTTTTTTTTTTTTTTTTTTTTTTTGTAGAGATGGGGTTTCATTATGTTGCCCAAGAAGCTGGTTTCAAACTCCTGAGCTTAAGAAATCTGCCCACCTTGGCCTCCCAAAATGTTGTGGTAACAGGCATGAACCACTGTGCCCAAGCTTAAAAAATGGCATTTTTTATTACTTATATTTGTAGAGACAGGGTCTCTCTATATTGCTCATGCTGTTCTTTTTGTTCTTGTGTGTGTGCTTTGTTTTTGTTTTTTTCAGACAAAGTCTTGCTTTGTTGCCCTGGCTGGAGTGCAGTGGCACAATCGGGTCACTGCAGGTCTCCACCTCCTGGGCTCAAGCTGTCCTCCCACCTCAGCCTCCTGAGTTGCTAGGACCAGAGGTGATCACCACCATGGCAGGTTAACCCATTTTAAAATCGAGTTGTATTTCTTATTACTGGAATGTAAGAGTCCTTTTTTTTCTGGTTTGGGCAAATCACTTGTCACTAGTATGTGACATTATAAATTTTAAATTTTCGTAAAGACTACATTTCAATGTTTGTTAGGGTTTTAGTTTTTTATTCTATTTAAGGAATCTTTGCCTACTCAGATGTTACAATGATTTTTCTCTCATATTTTTCAGAATTTCTAGAGTTGTAGCATTAAACATTTGGGTCCCAACTCTACTTTGAGTTAATTTTTGTGCATGATGTGAAGTAAAAGTTGACATTCACTTCTTTTAATCATTGAGATATCCAGTTCCAGCAACATTTGTTGAAAGGGCTGTTCGTTTTCCACCTCATTTCTTCGGAACTTTTTTCTTAAGTCAATGGACCAGAGATGTGTGGGACTGTATATGTGGGCTTTCTATTCAATTCCATTGATTTATATGTCTGCACTTTCAGCAATGGCACAATGATTATTAGCTTACTGTAGTTTTAGATTGAATATTGAAATTGTATAGTATAAATCTGCCAGTTTTGTTCTTCTTTTTCATTTTTCCTTTTTTTAGATGGAAAAGAGAACTCTGTTATATTGTAGAAGGCCTTCATCACCCTTTGCTTCTCCAATGTTTACCTCTGCCATTGCTGTTATCATGTTGTATTCTAAATAATTACCCTGTGATACCTTCCTCCCGAGACTGTAGGATCTTTGAAAGAAGATCTTGTGTGTATTTTCATATTGTGTCTACAGAGTCAGGCATGTTTTTGACTATTATAAAGCTAAAGACAAAAAGCTACACAAATACTGACATCTAGTTAGTAAATCTCTTTCTTTCAGAGATATGACTAGCAGTTTTGAAATTACTTTATGTGCATACTACCATTGGACAAATATGTTTACTTTTGTGAATTATAGATGTGAGTAGCAAACACTGGTAAAAAATTTCCTTTGCAAAGAAAATCTCTTTCTTTAAAAGTCTAAATAGAAAAATACATTTGTGGAAGTTGGCCATTCAGCTTTTTTCAAGTCAGAATTAATTTCTGAATATTGTTTTTTTTTCTACCCAAAAGAATGTATCTCTCTCTAATAAATCCTTCACTTAAATATAAATCGTAAACATTTTCTCATATTTTCTCATAATTTTAATTGTACTTCTAAATATCTTAAATATTTTCACTCATAAATATTTTCTCCTTTGCTTTTTAAGCTATTTTCGTGAAAGAAGAAATGTTGCTACCTCAACTGAAAAATCTGTGGCATGGCAAAGTGAGTCTATGTGTTTAATTTCTCCTTAAATTAGAGCTCATTTGATCATCTTAACTGTGTTAAAATCATGATTGAGAAGGCAGCCCACCTGTGGTATAGGGAACAATGGAAATAACTGTCTGCCAGCGTTGATAGTACCTCAGACACTTTTAAAGGGGACCGAATAAAAGGCAATAAAATGCACTCTGACTCCTAGAAATTTGTACATGCTAATGTAAAAAGTTTTCTTTTTATGCAAGCTTCGTTTATCATTAGCCACAGTTGCAGGCATTTAACTAAATTAAATGGTTTCTGGCAGTCTGAGCTACAGAACAAAGATATATGTATGGAAAGTGATTTTGCCATGGTAACTGGAAAGGGCTGTCATTGTTGCTCTGGCAAATTGAACAGTGACAGAGGCTTTTCTTTCATTTTGAAAATTCTGATTATACAAGTTTGGGAACATTCTTTTTGACAATAAGATGTCAAACACTTGGGTACTGAATCTTTAAGAGAAATTTTTGCCATAGTAGAAATACAAATATTGAGAATTCTTTTTTGTAGATTAGTATAATTCAAGGATGATGGAACTTCTCTTGAAATAATTTATTTACAGATGCATTAGTAGCTATGGCATTAGAGGAATTATTTTAAATGCCTTCTGGATTTTAAGTGATATCTAGCTATTATGTTGGTGACCTTTTTATAACGATTTATTGTAAGTTATAGAACTAAGCTTAATTTTCTGCCGTTTAGAATATTTCCTTATTTAGGAGTTATCATTATAAATGGCATCATGACAATTTCTTTTGTATGTGGGCAATGTATTTGGTTATATTTATGTAGATCCTAGAGGTTGGCAAGGACATATGTGACAGTTTGCAATTTAAGGAGCAGCGAGTTATGTTTATGAAGCAAATGGTGCATACCATGAGTGTTATATCAAGAAGACAATGAGGAGAATTGATTTGGGGATAAGAATTAGCATAATTTGGACTCTTACAGAATAAAGCTTACGTTGTGATAATGCCATAAAAAACTCATGCTTTTAATCTTTTTTTAAAAACAGTATTTCAGATTATTCACATCTTTCCATTCTCATCCTATAATCCCCCTAAAAGATTCAAATGAGGAGAATTCATCTTCCATCTTTCCTTATGGAGAGACCTTTCTCTTCCAGAGACTAGAAAATTCCAAGGTTAGTCCCATACATTTTAATTGTTTTCCATAATCAATTATTTGCTTTTCTGCCTATTTGTACCTCTTCATTTTTCTCCAAGCTATTTGAAGAATGGCATTATGTTGAAGACTGAAATTTCCAGTCAGCAAAATTTTTGTTCAGGAAAATTATGTTAAAATCTGTATCTTTCAATATACATTATAGAAACACACTTTTATTTTGACTTCGGGAATCCAGGATAGTGAGTTTTAAAAGTTTGCCACAATATTGGGTTAATTAAACAAAAGACAAACTCTATAAAACTTAAACACTCTCTAGATTTTTGCTTTGCCTTGTAGCCAAGTGCAGACTTCCGAAGTGCATAGACTTCCAATTATGTATATATTTTAATTATTTAGCTTATCACTCATTCTTTTCTATTACTTGTGCTCTTTTGCTACATTATTTCTTGGTCTTGATAAAAGAGAAGTTGGAAGACAAAAATGAATTAAATAAAAGTACATAAATTTTATTTTTGTTTAGCATCTTCTTTTGTTCTTACTTGAACTGATGAGTTAACGATTTAAATAAAATAGTGAAAAAAACATCAAAAGTCTGTTTAATGTAGACTATCTTTTTTTTTTCTGAAAATTGATATAAGTAATTAGACTTATTTAGTTAAACTCAGATATTATGGATTTTTGTGAAATATTGATACACATACAAACAAATCCCCAAACCAAAAAGCAAAACAGTATGTGTTTTTTGTTTGTTTGCTTTTTTAATAGAAGCGGTCTATAAAGAATGAATTTTTGACCCAGGAAGAAGCACTCAAAGGGGAAGCAACTACTGCGACGAACTCTTTTATCATCAAATCAAGGTATGAGATCATGATTGATGATGATTAACTATTTAGAATAAACTGTTATACAATGTTGGCTTTTCATTCATAGTATAATATTGTGTGTCAGAGAAAATAGTTTATGTTGATAAGTTCAAATTTTTCCTCTCTAAATGTAAGCATAACAGCACCCATTTTATTAATTGAATTATGCTCTGTAAATCAAGTAAATAGTTGCATTCTGTGGCAGATTAGTTTTGTGTTTTTCTAATGGAAACCACACCCCTGCCTCAAAGCAATACAGGTGACTGTGATTGCACATTAAAGATGAGAGGTTATGTTAATAAAAAGGAGCAAAGGGCAGTACAGAACATCACTATGCAAGTTGCAGACTTTTACAAGTGTAATATATTATTTTTATTGGAGTTTCAGCACTGGTAAGAAGCATGGCAATTATCCAGTTATTTGGATCACACACGGAGTTAGAATTTGTATGCAGCAACTTCAATTTTGTTTCTCTGTCAGCTTTATTGGAACTTGGCATACTAGATCATTACCTGATATTTCATTTTCTTTTTCTTAATTTTTGATTTTTGAGATTACATAGTAGATGTATATATTTCTGGGGTACATAACATATTTTGATACAAGTATAATAATCACATCATGGAAAATGGAGTATTCATCCCCCAAAGCATTTCTCTTTTGTATTGCCAACAGTTTAATTAAACTCTTTTAGCGGGACATTCATTTTATTTTTGTCTTTCATTTTCTAAGGCTAACATTGTTATAGGTTTCCCTCAGTTAAAGCTAAATAATTAAACAGCTTCAGTAAACATTTGACATAATCTAATATAATGCAAAATATGAAAGGGCCAGGCTAAATTATTCTTAAGGCAGTAATCATTTTTAGAATGCTATATCCAGAAAGATGTAATTTGAGCCCAGGCATGTCTGTTTCATTGATCAGCAAAAAAATGTCCTTTGTCATTAATGAATGAGTTGATCTATTATGTCATTCCTTGAATCTGTAGAAATATGTCTAGCAATTATGAATGCGTTCCAATAAATATTTTGCATTACATAGCCTTTACTTCCTGGATGTACACTGACCCTTTATTGTTTTCTAGCTAGCAGTGTGCTGCAATATTTTTCCTCATCAACATTGCAAAATAATACTGATGCTCTCAGCAGTCAGATGTACTCTCTGTTTTATTGCATTATGGTGAAACATGGGGTCCTTGGAGTTGATTAGAGGATAGTAGAGAGCGGTAAACAAGTGGGAAATAAGATCTCCATATAGATGAGTTAATGGTCCATGACGTTGCCGAGAGAGATTGGGCTGGCCACTTAGTTGTGCTATTAAAGATGTTTAAATTGTGATATGAAGAATATACCCAGTCTCCATCCTTAGCACCTGCACCTAACCATCCAAAATAAAATGGATAAGATTAAATTATACCTAAGAAAAAACTTGTAATAGTATTCACATATGTCATAGGTTAATGAAAGAATTTTACTTAGTTTTTCTGGAAGAGTTAAAAAAATTTTCAATAGGGTTAATTGAAACTCTAGGATTTTCCTGGCCTTATGTTTCTGTTATTGGTTATTTATAAATTTTCAAAATGTCACTGATGTCTTAAATCACATATAGCACTTTGAAATGTTTACATCATTTTTCCATTTAGCATATATGATAACAGAAAGGAGAAAATAAGTGAGGACAAGGTGGAAGATATTTGGATACCTCGAGAGGACAAAAACAATTTTTTGATAGACACTGCTTCTGAATCAGAATACTCAACAGTAGAAGAATGCTTTCAGAGTTTAAGAAGAAAAAATTCAAAGGCATCTAAATCTAGGACTCAAAAAGCATTGACTTTGGACTCCGTTAATAGGCACAGTTATCCATTAAGCTCAACAAGTGGAAATGCTGATTCATCAGCTGTTTCTTCACAGGCAATATCTCCCTATGCCTGCTTTTATGGAGCATCTGTAAAGAAGGTTAAATCGGGATGGCTGGATAAACTCTCTCCTCAAGGGTATGTACGTATTCATTTATTTCATAAGTGGCATATTTTTAAAATTTCAAGTTTATTCATTTCTGAACCTCCTGGGTTGCTGTTCCCCCACTCCACCTCCACACACACACATACACAGAGATGCCATTTTTAGAGACTTTCAGCACGCTTTTGCCAGTGCTATTCTTTAGACATAAGGAGAGAGATGTGCAATGCAATGCTGCATTAAGGTCCAGAATTGCAAATTAAAATAGAAAGTTATGATCTCACATCTAATTTCTTAATGTTACCTTCTAAGTTCACATCAAAATGCGCTAATCTGTGTCCCAGTATGTAACAAAGAAAAACAAGACAGACTGAGTTAGTATTACTCAGCCCACACTGTTTAGCTTTTGCTCATATCATAACAGTGTTCTGTTTGAGAATACAAGGCTTATTGTAGTTAGGGAAAAGTACATCTTTGTTAGGTTTAGGTCTTCACTGTTACTGATATATTGTTTTAATTTTTGTATGTTACACAGAAGGTCAGAGTCCCGTGAATATTACACTTTTCAATGGATTTATCAACAGATATTTACAAAGAAACTTTTGTCCCTTAAGCATTTTACAGTACTGAGAAGTCTTTGGGGAAGGATTATATTTAATTAGAATTGTTTTCTAGCATCCTGATTTTTAGATGTCTTTTTGAAATATTTACTTGAAATGTTTTTCATGAATTATTAAATTATTTTGAGATTAAAGCTTTCATGTATCAGCAGCTAATGTGAGAGTCCCTACAGTGTGCGGTTTTCTCCCCTGTTCTCCTGAAATGTGTATCATTTCTAGAAAGGATTGGTTTGATCTAAAGTAATTTTAATTTAAAAAAAAAATCTGCTGGAAGCGGCATCAGATGACTAGTAGAAGCAGGAATTACATTTCAAAAGATAGCAAAACGCCCCAAAATTATATGGTTAGTAATTATATGTTAGTACCTTATATATTTTCATCCTTTAGGAAATTTGATTTTGAATAAGCCAAAGCAGAGTACTTCTTACTATCAGCTATGTGTGTCACTTCTTTCTGGTTACATTATGATGACAAAACCCTCTGCTTGTTCTTTTTAGTCCTAAGTGTTACTGGTAAGTGCATAGTCAGATGTTGAACGTGTGGATCAGTGCTTAGGTCTGAACACTAGTGGAATGGATCAGTGAACTTGAATTTTCTTGAATTCATTTCTGTAAAATCTAAGTATTTAGAGAGGTCCAAGTGCTCTCTTAAAGTATCACTGGAAGAAGAAACAGACTTTGAGTACAAAGCCCCCAGCAGCTGTGGTTTCCTGTGTGTCCCGGGTGAGATCTCGCCCTTTACAGGGTTGGTCTGTTTATGCTCCAGGCACATTGAGAAAGTTTCACCATTGTTGGCCACCTCTGGGACAGTTAGGGTATATTCTGTCTCTCTTTTTCAGAACTTTAACTTTCCATTCTTTCTATTCTGAACCTGCCTAAGGTTAGATGCTGTAAGTTTTCTGGATTTATATGTTTCTATTTTGGGGGAAATAATTGCATTTTCTGTCCTAAAGCTCACCCCTACCCCCCCTCCCCACCCAAAATACCAGGATAAATGGATATAAGAAAATAAACCAAGGAGCTTGGTATATCACCAAGAAATTTTAAAACTCTTCTGTGTGATTATATTGCTATGACTTGAAAGAAATATGTGTAGCTAGCCAAAACGCATGCATTCATTAAATCAGAAGTAGAATCCAGAATTTTTCCTTTCCTAATTAGACTCTGTAGGCTATTGTGAGGATTTAAGATGTTCATTAAAGTAGACAAAGTGATGCCTACCCCTTCCTTATGCAGTGGTTGCTGAGCTTTATGGCCTCATGTCTCTTTGACGCAGACAGCACTGATTGAGATGGGATTCCGAACTCCATGTAGCAGGTGTCAACAAACTTTTTCCATAAAGGGTCAGGTAGTAAATAGTTTAAGCTTCATAGTCAAATGGTCTCTGTTGCAACTATTTAACTCAGCAGTTATAGCATAAAAGCAGACGTAGCCGATGAATGAGGCTGTGGTCCAGTAAAATACAGAAGTAATAAAAAGCAGAGGTCCTCCTTAGAGGCCTCTGCATTTGTACTTCTTTCTGCCCGAAATGCTCTTCCCCCAAGAGTAACATGGCTTGAACTTCTCTCAAGTTCATGCTATAATGTCTCCTTTGCATTTAAGCCCTGGCCACCAAATTTAATACTACAACTGTTGCTCTCCCCTGCCACCCCACCACTCCCTTAATTACTTTCTTCTACAGGGCTTATAGGCCAGATGATTCATTTATTTCATACAAGCTCCGTGGGGACAGGCATCTGCATTGCTTTTCTTGTGCTGTGATAGCCTTAGCAGAACACTGCCTAGCACGTGGTAGATGCTTAGTATTTGTTGTAGAATGAATCTGTGAAAAACCTAGCATTAGACATATTTTCTTTTAATTTTTCTAAAACAGCAATTTATAAGAACTTTGTAATATAAGCTGCTGAACTCAACAACATATTTGTGGCTGAAAATCTCCAAGAACCATTGATAATGCTGTTATACGTTAACAGGGTAGTGAACTCTTGGTGTTTTTTATTTTATTTTTCATAATTGTTTCCCCCTTAAAGACATGCATGTAAATTATCAAAATACAATTGTCAAAATACAATTTAAAAACTAACAGACACATTCTAATTTATACTTTTTCAAATAGCGTATGCAACTATCTTTTGTTTAATGAATGTCATTAAACAAAATAATCACATTCACAATCTGAACTTATTTCACGTGGTTGTCTATTTACTTATGAAATGGAAATTCCAATTCTGAATCAATGCCTAATATGTGAACATTGCCCAATGTACGGTTAAGAATATAATTGTATAACACCATACAACAAAAGAAATACTGAAACATTTCCGGTTTAAAATATGATAAGTTGTTTAAATATTTGAATGACCTAAATATAATATCCCTAAAACTAGTGGTTTAAAAACTGTATGAAAGAAATAATAAAATGTAGAATTTTGGTGGCTGTATTTCGAACAGGTCGAAGCAGATGAAAAGCTTAATAAGTGATACTTGCTTTTAAAAACCTCTCACTGTTTTTGAGGATTAAAATAAATCATCTTCACTTTTTTTCAGCTGTAAATAATAAGCTTTTCAGCAGATTTGTATAGATGCAAATATGAAAGACTGGATATAATTTATTCCAACATTTCCCAAATATGCATCTCAGAAGAGAAATGTTTGAAGCTGTTGTAAAGAAAAGAGAACATGGTTGGATGTGCTGTGCCTCTTCTAGGAGATGCATAAATTAACATCTCCAAGAATATATGCAAAAGGAAATCCTTTTGAATTTTTACAATACTATTTTCTAAAGATGTTTCTGTGTTCAGCATAACACACAGAGCATCTTTATAAAAACTACTGTGTGTATTAAATAATTTCTATTTTACTTGAAATGTTTTAGGACTTTATTTTTTACTTGAGGAAATTCCTCTTTTTCAAAATTTAACTTTTTTTTTGGCCATGAGGAGTACTGATGTGGCAGTGTGAGCCTGAGACAGCTAAAGTTGATCATGTGAGGTTAAGTCAGCACTTGGAGGTGGTGGAGGACACAGATGAGCAAGATGTGTTCCTGATCTTGTTGTAGCTTCCATTTAGGGCAGAAAAGAAATGTATATGTGAATAGCAATAAAACCCAAAGACAATCGTATAATTGGTGCGTACAGAGTCCTGAGGTTACCAAGGTTGAGAAAGCATTTCTTCAAAGACCTTCCAGGAAGGAGAGGGTAGCAGTTGAATTGCCCTTTGGAAAATGGATAAGATTTTAACTGGCATTTTTAGTAAAATGCTTTTCTGTCTAGAGGGAAAGGCAATGATAGTGGTGATATCTAGATGTACTTGAGGGTTGAGATAGTGAGCAGGTGGAGGTTAGAGTTATTTTATTGAAGATGGACCGTTGGGTTCTAGGACAAGGAGAGAGAAACTGCCAGTGAAAAGCATGTTCAGAGAACAGATAACTAGGGAAAGTGAAAAAGCCAATGATCAAATACCAAGAAAAGGTTAGATCTCAGACAGTGACTGGGAGTCAGAGCTCCCAGAAGCCAGTAGCCCAAGACCTGGGAGAAATTCAGAGCTTATACTGTTTGTGCCTTTGTCAGTGACTGGTTTCCGTGTCATCATCCAATCTCCAAGGCTCCTTTATTGGAAGAATTCCCCACCTGGCTACACAAGTGCTTGAGTGTCTTGGATCTCTTGGTGTGCTTTCTTGGGGCTGCAGAGAAAGGCAGGTGTAGCAGAAAGTTGGCAAGTCCACGTTTGACTAGGGTGTTACATATCAGTCACCTTGTTGAACTTAAAAGTGAATCCAAAATCCTTGATAATTAGATGGCCGTTTCTCAAAGCACTTGCTACTGGTAAACATTGTGCCAAGGAAATAAAAAGCTTTAATATTGTTGCAGTTTGAGGAGGAAAAAAGTTAGTTTCAGTCTCCATAATATTACCTGGTTAATTCCTTTCAGCCATCTTAGCTGCAGAGAAATGAATAGGGTTTGGAATCAGACAGACATCATTCATTTGCTGTGTGACTCCATTTCTTGGAACCTCCATTTTTCACATAAATGCATGAGGTCAAGACTACCTCTGTGAAATCATTTGGAAAAGTAGGTAACTTTGGGCCTCACTCTTAACTGATGCTCAATAAACCTCGATTTTCTTTTTTTTTTCAGAACACCATTTTATTGCAGAGGACCTTAAATAATGTTACTGTGAGTCCCAGTCAGTTCATACTTTGATAAGTACAAGGTAAAGAGATCATGTGTTCACACTGAACTTTCAGAATTCAATGTTTGATTGTTATAAAAGCACATAGTTTATGTGTCAGAGAGTAGTACATAGCTTATTAAAAAAAAAGACATGGATGCAGCTGGAAACCATTATTCTCAGCAAACTAGCACAAGAACAGAAAACCAAATACTGCATGTTCTCACTTATAGGTGGGAATTGAAC